GACGGGCTTTATAGTAGGGCCTGTAGCAATAGGACAAGGGGCAATGGTTTTAAATCGTTGAAAGAGAGTAGGTTTAGATTGGACATAAGGAAGAAATTTTTTACGATGAGGGTGGTGAAACACCGGCACAGGTTGCCCAGAGAGGTGGTGGATGCCCCATCCCTGGAAACATTCAAGGCCAGGTTGGAGGGGGCTTTGAGCAACCTGATCGAGTGAAAGATGTCCCTGCCCGTGGCAGGGGGGTTGGACTAGATGATCTTTGAAGGTCCCTTCTGACCCAAACCCTTCTGTGATTCTGTGTCGGTGACAGTTGTGTGGAACTTGCCCTGTGGTACTACAGGGACCCCGTACTCCTCTCTAATGTGCCTGCCCTTAAAAGAGAGCAAATGTATGACAGTCTGCAAATCTTGAGCCCATTGAAAGAAAAATACATTTCAAGCAAATTCTAACACAGGTTCACTTTAGAAAAGCCCTTACCGTGGTGATGTCGGAGTGCCTAAATTACATTAGTGCTTTGTTATATTATCAGGGCCAGACAGCCAGATCATCCTGATGTGTGTAGTGGGGGAAGGAAGGATCTCTGCTGCTCTCTGAGCTCTTACATGTCATGTGAGAACAGGCATCGTTTGACTTCACAGGGAAGAGACTCAGGGCTTTAGCCTAGCTCTCCTCCCAGCCCTCAATAAACCTCTGCCAGCCTGGTGTGTTTGCAGAAGTGATAATTGATGGGAAGGTGGTATGGTAAAGAGCTTAGTGCAGGACGCTTTGTTTGGAAGATGAGTGATTTGAACTTCACTTTGATGTTATGTTAGCTTATCTTTGAAACTTTTGAAACATGTTTTAATTGATGGCTTTATTAACAAAGATAATCATGAAAGTATTTTACACCTACTTAAAAATAGGAATACTTCGTAATCTTGTGACTGCAATCTTGAGATGATTTCTTCTTTTTTTTGCAGACCAAAAAGAAAAAAGAGCCAATTTTCTCTCATTATTGTGATACCTGTGACCGTGGCTATAAAAACCAGGAGAAGTATGATGAACATATTTCACAGCATAAACAGGTTGATGAGTTTGGCTTGTTTTATTTACACTTTGATTTTTAACTTTGTGCATGATAAGTAGTTAGCTGTAGTCACTCTTTGAATGGAAGACTCAGCAAAGAGATTCCAGAGTGACAAGAAGTGTTAGTAGGGGAGTTTTTCTGAAGGCTGTGTGTAGGTGAGCTCTCAGTTGTATTTTTGGTTTTATTGCTGAAGTCATGTTAATGGTCTGTCTTGTGAAGTATTGCTAAGTCACCCCAGTGGTAGGAATTAGTTTATTGACATCAGTATAGCATATAAAATTTTTTGTGTGAAAAGGCCTTATATGGAAAACATATTTTAAAAATCCACTCCTTTGTTGCAAAGAAGTATCAAAATTTGAAATTGGAGAGTCTTGCAAATCTTTCTGTTAGGTTAACTTCACATTATCTCCAATTATCAGATACGTTGGCTAAACTGGTTATTCTAAAATCAGATGAAATTTAGAAGTACATTATCCCTTGTTACTGTTTTTACAATCACGTTTGTTTTGAAACTGAGTAGCTTAAAGGTTCTGTATAATTAACTGTATAGGCATCTTGCACTGAGTTTGTTTGAAGTCTACTAGAATGCTTGTTTACAATTTGTTTGTATAACTTGGTGTGTCTTAAGTTCACCCCCTTATCTTGCAGTGCTCAGAAGAAGGTTGCAATTTCAGCGCACATGAGAAGATAGTTCAGATACACTGGAAGAACGTAGGTATCCCCCTGGGCCCAAAATATGAGTCTATGCAATCTTTACTGTAGTCCCTTTTCTCATTCTTCAGAGGCTTGCTTTCATTCTTCTGGAAGGAAAATGTATCACCTCTGAGTAGAATCTGTTGTAAGACAAAGTTGTGGACGAAAATATGTTGAATGCTATGGGTTTTTTTTGATGGATTCATTTTGTAATCGCTGTATGCAGTCTTACCACTTACCACTGATGAAAACAGTGTAATACTACTATAGTTGGCAGAATGATGCTTTTTTTTTTCTTGTGGGTTTTTTCCTTCCCCTTTTAAACACCTATGAAATACTTTTTCCTTAGGCACATGCACCTGGTGCTAAAAGAATAAAATTAGATAGTCCAGAAGAGATTGCTAGATGGAGAGAAGAAAGAAAAAAGTGAGTAAGACTTGTGACCTATGAAATTGTTTTACTGTATTTTCCCTGTGTGATCATTAGATGACAGCTGAAAGGCAGTAGCAGCATGTGCTTGCTGCTGCTGTTCCTTTGACTCTACAAAACTCGTGCGGCAGTGGTCTGTGTCAGAATGCCTGAGCCAGGAGGGTGTGAGCTACAGAGACTATAATCATTTGGATGATTATAATACAAGGCAAGATATCGACTGAGAAGGAGGTAGTTTTCCACACGTTTGATTTGGTACCCCAGGTTATGTGAATGACTCATTCCTTTTAGCGTGATCGCTGAGACATTTTAGGTCAGAAATGTGTGTGTGTGTTTGCTTGGTGGTTTTTTAATAGCTAAGAAATCTGGAACTCTTGTACTGAGTATAATTGTAATACATCCCGCTGTGTGCAAATTTCCACAGCTTAAGTTGTCCCAGTAGACCCCAACAGGGAGTTCTCCTTTCTGCATTGCTTGACACTTTTCCATGAATGATGCTGTCTCAGGTAGTCTAACTCGCGTTGTACCTGGGGTATGAGGTAAAGTTCACGTGTAAGTAGTGTTTCTCGTTCTGTGATGTGAGGTGGTACAACTTCTTTCCATTTACCGGGATTGAAGTGTTTAAAAATTCACACTGGACTTCTGTAGATCTTATCCCACTAATGTTTGGGGTTTTTTTCCCCCCCTAAATTGAACAGATTAAAATCTACCCTTTTCCAGCAGGTAAAAGATGCTGTAGGCTTTCTTCACTTCTGTTCCAGACTTGGAATATAGTCTTGCGAGTGATCAGTACACGGGTTTTGTTTCTGTGAGCAAGAGTCCTATGTGAAGAGTGGGAAGTGGTACAAATTTAATCTCAAGATCACCGGTGATGAGCTTGGGCAGTGTACTAGTCACCTGTTTTTGTGGGTTTGTTTTTTTTTTTTTAAATGAAAGTAAACCCAGTGGTCTGATGCAGTCTTACTGGTGAATCCAGCTTGCATTTATGTCAGAAAGCAATGTTAATGCATTCTTGTTTTGAACCTGACTCCTTTTACACAATGGCTTTGTAAAAAAGGAAAAATGAGTGGAATGTGTGGTAGGAGATTTTTTTCATTGCCTCCCATCACTTTTTGCTGCATCGAGAAGCAAAATTTCTCCCCATGTAATGAGAAGGAGAAAATCCCTGGAAGTTTAACATTCCTTTGGACGTGGTTTCAGCTTTTTCTGCAAATCTCAAAACCGCAAAGGGAAGTCTTTCACTATGTCAGCACATCGTAGCAGTCAACTGTTGCACCTGCTGTTCATTTTTTACAAACGAAGATAATCTGTAGGTCCTGGTGTGTGGTATTTTTTTTTTAAAAACAGCTTTTTTTTTAAAAAAAAAAAATTCTTTTGTCCTATGTTTAAAATGCTATAGTTAACCAGACAAAAATTGCTTGTGATCTGTGCAAGTACAAGTTTGGTGTTTTGGTTCCAAGGTTTCATTTTATTCAAAAGATACTTGAGGATTTGGTTTTTTACTTGCTTTCACTCTACATATTGCTGTCGTCTTTTTTTCCCAATAATGATACTTGCCAAGTCTTTATTACTTACAATACAAGTGTTTGAACAGAGTTAGCAAAACCCAAAATGTCCTTAGATTTGTCTGTCTCGTGGCCCACACTTAATTTTCTAACAGTAGCTCCAAGGAAAGGTATCAATAGTTGTGTGCAGAGTCTTTGCTATTCATTTGCAACTTTGCATACACTTTTCTGTTCTGGGAGGTGTTTGGGAGAGTTCCTGTGTAGTGGCTGATGCTAAGGTTTAAGTGCTGAAATGACATTTAAGGTATGTATGTCAATACATGCTCTGCTGTATGCTAGAACATAAGGGAAGCAGGAATTGAATGTACAATCATGTTCAGGTACCATTTGCTTGGGGAGTGGGTGCTGCGGGTCAAAGCAACATTTATCTACAGTTAATTGTAAGGATGATACTCTGCCTGAGATCATTTATGTTGAGTTCCTAGAGAATCTCATGGCACATACAGTTGCTTTTTTACAGATGAATATAATTTGGCTGTGGTACAACGTTGCTGAAAGCCTTTGTTCACTGCGGCACAATAAAATAAATGGAAATAAAGTCTTGTAGTCGTGACCATCAAACAAAAAAGGCAATATGAGATTAGGACCTTCTAAGCCAAGGCCACTAGATGGAGTACTGCTGTAGGTTATTTTGATACGTCAGTCCTTGTGTGGGCATCTTGTTTAGCTACAAAGGATGGGTGTAGAATGACTACCTGGGTCGCTTTTGTTACTCTTTGTACAAAAAGGAAGCTGTACTAACATCCTTCTTTTTTTTTTAATTAAAAAAAAAAAAAAAAAAGAAAAAAAGAGAGAAACCCAGCTGAAACTTTTGTGAAGCCTTAATTGGGTCTCCAGCAAAGCATCAGTTTGGTACTGAAGGTCTGTTGTTGACTCACAGTAAACATTGCATTGTACAGAAAAAAAGGACACCAGAGGGAGTCTGAGCTATTAGGCAGTTGTGGTTTATGGTGATAGGAAAAAGCCTTTTTCTTTCTAGAAGCTCCAGTCAGAGCTAAGAATGAGTCTTTTTAGGTCATTAGCAGTTTTTTTCTAATTAGGTTGCAATGATTTAATGTGTGTCTTTCCATCCTGCATCTCTAAGATTCCTGCCTTGCTTGTTCTTTCAGCTCTTATAAATAATTACTTACCGAGTTGAGATTTTTCTTCTTAATTAGCTGCTGTGTTGCTCAGTTGCGTATCCTGCTAAAAATCTATTAGAAAGAGCCTGTGTTTAAAGTGCAGCCTTATTCACATAGAGGGAAGAGAAGGGGGAGAGCTGGTAAGGAGCAAGTATCGCTGGATGAAGTATGCTGGGTTAGAATGCTGTTTTCCTGTCTTGGATTCTGTACAATGCCCTGTTCGTCACTGCAGCCTTCATGTCTCTGCTTACCTAAAAGACTCTTTAATGGTTTGTGGCCCGCTGAACCTGCTGAGCCAAGCAATCTGAAGTTAAGCAGACAACGATAGACATGAAGTTCAGCA